AGTCTTGTTTCTCTCTGATCTTCAAATTGAATAATTTCTATTGATTTATCTTTAAGTTCACTTACTTTTTCATTTCCATTCTGCATTCAGTCTAGTAATTTTTTTATTTAATATATTGTATTTTTCAGTTCTAAAATGTTTAATTTGTTTGATTTTCATAGTTTCTGTTTCTCTACTGAGAATTTCAATTATTTCATTCATTGCAAACATGTTTTTCCTTTACATCTCTGAGCATAGTTATAATAGCTGCCATAAAATCCTTGTCTGCTAATTCCAACATCTGAGTCCTTTCTGTGTTGGTCTTCATAGATTGTTTTTTTCTTGAAGTGAGTAGCATTTTCCTGATTCCTTGTATGTTAGGTATTTTGAATTGTAACTTGGACATAATTAATTTTGAGTCGTGGAGACTATATTTTGTTACCTTCTTCTGAAAAGTGTTGTCTGTTTTATTTGATTCAGCAGGTATTTATTTTGTTGGACTCAAATGGCAAACTCTTTGTTCCTAGTAGCAGCTAAAATCTCCACTGAGTTCTTTTTTCCTTTAACTGACACCACTTCCATACATGCATGATTCAGGGCTGAGCTGGAGATTTGGGTAGAGTTTATACACCAAATCCGGGACTCCCTTTGGCTATTCCCTGTCCAGGATTCTGTCCTTATTTTCTAGTGGCTATGGTTTGCCCCAAATTCTGCTTTCTGATTCTTAAGGCAAAAAACAAAACAAAACAAAACAAAACAAAACTGTGGGCTTTCTATTTGGTTTTGTCTCCCCCATGAGATTTGCTCACTCTCAGGCTTAAGCCCTGAAAAAGCAACTCACCCTGTTTCATTTTCATCTTTTTGTTTTTTTAAAACACCTTATCTATAAAAAAAAAAGTGTACTGCTTATTGGTGTTAAGTATTTTCACATTACTGAACAGCAGATCTCCAGACCTTTATCATTTTGTGAAACTGAGACTATAACCATTGAATAACTCCCCATCTCCTCTCCTCCAGCCCCTGGTAACCACCAAAAAGCTTTCATAGAAACTTACTGTTTCTATGAATTTGACTATTTTAGATACCTTATATAAATGGAATTGTACAATATTTGACTTTTTGTGACAGGTTTATTTCACTTAGTATGAGGTGCTCCAGGTTTATCAATGTTACAGCATGTGACAGGATTTTCTTCCTTTTTAAGGCTGAATAATATTCCATTGTGTGTATGTACCACATCTTATTTATCCACGCATGCATTGATGGACATTTGGGTTGCTTCCACCTCTTGGCTATTGTGAATGATGCTGCTATGAACATAGGTCTGCAAATCATTCTTCTCTTTTAGGTGTCAACTCTCTCTTTAATCTTCTTGCTTTGGTAATTCTCTTCTTGTTTTCTCGTTTCTTCTGTTTGTTTATTTTGTCCAGGGTTTACAGTCATTATCTGTTGAAGGGTTGGGTCCAATGGGAACTCGCATAGCTATACTGGAATTGGAGTTGTGGGTGAAATTGGATTTTAACAAGGATTGCGCTATATCCTATTTCTAAGAGCACAATGAAATAACTATTCAAAGAAAAGTGGAAACAAAGAGATGAGAATACAGCAGGCATATAAAAACAAAAAGAAAGCTGGAGTGCCATTATTAATATCAGATAAAGATGAATTCAAGGCAAAAAGTTTAACTAGGTAAGGGAGGTATTATGTTATGAAAAATGGTAAAATCCATGAAGAAAATATTATAGTCATGAATCTTTATGTATCATACTACATGGCAGTCAAATGCATAATTCACAAACTCCTAGAAATACACTCAGAACTTGTTAAAAAAACACCTTTCAATAAACACTTACATTGTGCTTATTACATGTCAGGCACTACTTTAAGCACACACACAAATATAATCAGCAAACATGATTTAATAGATATTGTAGGATATATGTATACATACTCATATAAATAGATATTAATAGAATGTATTTTCTCTTATTAAACTGTTTCTAAAACTGTTATGCACTTAGTCACAAAGAAAACCTTCATAAATTTCAAAATAGTATAATTTTATAGACTATATTCTTATGCCAAATACAGAATTACAGTCTGAAAGAGAAATGTCATAAAAACTTAAGAAATAAATATCACCATTTCAAATAACCCTGTATAGAAGAGAAAATAAAACTGAAATTGCAAATTATCTGGTAACAAACAAAAGAGATGATTTCGTACCCAAACCCCAATATACATCTAAGGCTGTATTCAGAGGAAAATTGATAACTTTAAATACTCTTATAATTTAAAAAGAAAGATAAAAAATTAGTAAAATAAATATTTAACTTAACAAATTAGGAAAAGGAAAACAAAATTTATAAGTAAGCAGTATGAACCAATAAAAAGAAAAGCCCAAATCAATTAAATACAAAAGAGAGAAAGTGTGTATCTGTGCATGCTTATGTGTGTGTGTGTATACATACTGTCATGTATTGCTCAACGATGAAGATATGTTCTGAGAAATGCATTGCTAGGTGATTCCATCATTGTGTGAACATCATAGAATGCACTCACACAAACCTAGATGGTATAGCTTACTATTATATATGCCTATGCTAGATGGTATAGTCTATTGCTCCTGGGCTGCAAACCTGTACAGCATGTTTCTATACTGAATACTATAGACAACTGTAACACAATGGTAAGTATTTGTGTATTTAAACATAGCAAAGTTACAGTAAAAATATGGAATTATAATCTTATAGGATTACTGTCTGTCATTGCAATACGTGACTGTGTGTGTGTATAATTTATATAGAAATGTATATATATATTCAAAGTATATATGTAGTTAATGTGTATATATTCAAATTATATATATAAAGTTTGAAGAGACAAATGAAATAGATAAAACCTTTGACTAGTTGATATATTACTTGGGACACTTTCAATTGTACCTAGATCAACCTCAGTTATGATTACAGAGCGCAAAATCTAATAAAATATTAGTAAACTATATTCAGCAGTGAATTAAAGATAATATACCATCATCAAAACAGAATTTATTCTATCATCATAATTCATTACGTGAACTGATTAATGGAGAAAAACCGTATGATTATATCCATAAATACCAAGAACATACTTGATACAATTCATCAGATATTCCTAGTTAAAATAAAAATGAATTAAAATATAAGTAGAAGGAAACTACTTAAATATAAAAAAAAGTATCCAAGGCAACTGTAGGTATCATAATGAACCATGCACTATTGAAGCATCTATTAAAATTAGAAGCAAGAAGCATATAGGGCCCATATGAAGAAAATAATTTAATTTTATTCTGAAGGACACTAACAAATACTGAAGAAATGAACCTACAATATTCCTGGATAGTATGGCTTAATGATAAGAAATGAAAAAATTTTAAATTAATGAAAGCATTGAGTGCTATTTTAATCCAAATCTTATTTTTTTTAGAACTTTTGGAACTAGGAAAAATCTTAAAATTTATTTGGAATAATAAATGTCTTAGAAGAGCCAAGAAAATTTTGAAAAAGAAGACTTTGTGCAGCAACTTGCCTTCCTGAATATTAAAATTTATGCTAAAAGCTACAGTGATAAAAGCAATATATTGGCATGGGAGCTGATAAATATATCCATGGATATATTTAAGTATTTACATATAAAATAGTGTGGAAACAGGTCCATTTATATATATCTTAATAAATGACAAAAATATCTTAATGGGAAATAATGGTTTAAATGTAGTTATAAGCATAATTTGCCATCTATCTGGAAGAAAACAAATTTAGACCTCTACTTTATATCATATGCGAAATTAAATTCCAGATGGATTAAAGCTCTAGATATTAATAACTAATACAAAGTAATTGAAATGTAATATATTTTAGAGGATGAAAGTTAGATAAATTTGTCTATATAAAAGGCTAAAAACTAAAAAAATCTCCAAAATTTATAAAAAATTATAGACTTGAAATAAACATTTGTAACATGTAACAAATGGCTAAAATTTCTCTTAAATAAAGAACGTCTAAAAATTGATAATAAAAGACAACACAAGTAAAAGATGGGCAAAACATATAAAGGCAATTATCTGAACAGGAAAGATTAAGTGGCTAAATATTCATACAAAATATGCCTTTCCTTTCCAGTAATCAGGGAAACGTAAATGAAGACAAAATGAAATTCCATCTTGTCCTCAACATATTGATAAAGATTAGAAAGAGCCTGCCCTGGTCATGAGGATGATGGGAAGGGGATGTTCACACACCACTGCAGGAATGTGAATGGCTGTCAGGTTTTTGAAAAATAACCTAATAAAAATAACCTCACCCTTTTATTCAGCTTTGTATAGTGTTATTTGTAGAGGCACAAATACGTAAACATTCTGATCATCCATCAATTGGGAAATGTTTTAATAAATCATATATTCAATATTAAGCAGATGTTAAAAAGAATGTGTTAGAACCGTCTGAATTAACCTGGATGAATGTCCATGATAAACGAAGCTAAAAAATGAAGTTGTGCATAGCGTGTTCCCATTTCTACTAAAAAAAACCCCAAAAATAGAAAATAACAACCAGCCCTCCAAAACAGCCTTGATGTATTAGGGTAGAGTTAGGTACATATCACATTTTCAATATTGATTATCATAGGAGGGTGGGACTGGAGGGTGTGTGTGACTTAATTCGTTCTCATGAGCTCGCAGTGCCTCTGTAATAAAAATAACCTGATATTTTAAAAGGCTGGGACCTACTTCATAAGTTGAAAGAGCATTAAGTAGGAGGTGTAGACCTAGCCCTGCCCCTAACTTGCAATGTGACATTTTCTGCCTTTCTTGTCTCTAAAGTGTGGGTGGTAATGACTGTCCTACCTACTTAGGTTACAGTGTTGTTGTGAAGATAAAATGAAGGATGAAGACAAATATAATTTGAATAGGTAAAAGACATTGAAATGCAAGCTATTATCTTCAAGAAAATTCTCCAACGTTCTCGATTTATATGACACAGGTGGAAAAGTCGCCCGAGGAAGCATCTTCCCTTCCCAATGGTGATGGAGCAGGAGAGGCACAGAGCACTGCAGAGGTAAGGGCTGGGCTCTGTTTTTTTTTTTTTTTTAAGACAGGATCTCACTCTGTTGCCCAGGCTGGAGTGCAGTGGTGTGGTCATAGCTCACTGCAGCCTCCAACTCCTGGGCTCGAGTGATTCTGCTGCCTCAGCCTTCCAAGAAGCTGGGACGACAGGTGTGTACCATCACTACGCCTGGCTATTTTTTGTAGCAACGGGGTCTTGCTGCATTACCCAGGCTTGTCTTGAACTCCCACCTTGGCCTCCCAAAGCACTGGGATTGCAAGTGTGAGCCACTGCATCCACCTGTGCTGGTGTCTTGAACTGTCTTCCTCCATATGCATTTCTTCAGAATGTCTATTTGGTCCTAATCCTTCTCTCTCTGTCTACTTGTCTGTCTCTCCACCCTATCTGTCCATCCGTCCATCCCTACCTCCCTCCGTCTATCTGTGTATGTCTACCATATCTAATTTGCAGTCTCTAAAATTATAAAGCCTCCTTTCATACAAGCAATGGAAAACAAACACTGTGTAAATATCAACTTCTTTGATGTTCTCTTCATAAGCCTTAAATGGGTGAATTGAAACTCCTTGCTCAAGCAGCTTATTACTCTACAGGGTAGATCAGATCTATTCACTTACCCTGTAGATCCCATCGGCATTTTTGGGGTTTGGCTCTATGCTAATAAATAGGAGGTCTGTGTTTGCTTCATTTATGTGCTATGTCCCTAAATAAGAAAGCCACATCATAGTGGCCTGGTTTCTCCTTGGGAGCTAATCTAAGGTGAGTGATATCCTGGGTTTCCTTTCTGACCAGGGCACAGAGAAGGCTGAAGACAGTGGAGAGACTGAGGCACAGAAAGAGGGTGGGGAAGATGCCGGCAACCTTCCTGGACCCCGGAAGGCGAGTATTTGCTTTTTCACAGTGGTTTCCTTGGATTCAGCTCCGTTCGGCACTCACTGGGCTTCTGCTGCTCGACCGTGGGCACGCAGCAGTGAGGAAGCGAGGGGCTGGGGGTTCAGCCGGGGTGCAGGCAGGTAATCCTCACGCACGTGTTAACTCTGTGGTCCGGGTGCGGAGAGGGCTAAAGTAAGGACAGGGGAAGGACCCTGAGCCCAGGCTGGAGGCAGCCGGCTAGACAGGCTTTTGTAATTTGTCGTGGCGTTGCTATGGTTAGCCCAGATGCATGTTCTTTACCAAACAAGGGGCCTTACTGCTTGGTCCTGATTAAGGACCGATTCTTAGCACATACCCATCCCAGAGCCCTGCCTAGCAGGGAAACAGAGCTAGGAGGGCGGGGCATATCTGTGGGAAGACAACAGGAACTTGAGGATGAAAAGGGGGACTTGGGGAGGGAAACTGACACTCAATTCAAGTCCAGTCAGGGAAATAGCAGATCCCAGCGAAGTTACGTGATTAATTCTAAAGGAGTTCCCATTCATGGGCAATGGCATAAGGTTGCGGTGGGGGAGGGAGACTGTGGTTCTGTAAGCACCAGATAATGGGGGACCAGATGGGCCACGTATTCGAGGAATTCTGAAAATGTGATGAGAAGCCAGACACAGGGAGGCCTTGGCTGCAGAGGGAGCTGGAGGGGCTGGGGTGGGTGCAGGCGTCCGGCTGAGCCTCCCTGTAGCACAACTGCAGTGGGCTTCTCCACTGGGCCAGTTGTAGCAAAGACTGTTTATCAAACTGGATGGTCTGCGTGTTTATTAATTCCAGGAGAGGTGTGGAAGCTTTTACAGAGTTGGACCCTCATCCCAGCAGATAGAATGTGGCTAGGAAGGGGCTGAGACTGACAGCCACACTATAGAAAATGGGGGTGTGGGGCTGGGCATCGACTTGTTTTTATCCTTAGGAATTTAAATTTGGGAGGGGCCAGGGCAGCAAATTTCCTCCCGTTTAGCCTTATATTGAGCATAGATTGCTATTTCAAAATCTTGATAATTTACAACTCTGAAGTTTTTTGTTTTGAAGAGAGACAAAATCTTTAATATTTTTTTTTTGAGACAGAGTCTTATTCTGTCACCCTGGATAGAGTGCAGTGGCTCATAGCAATCTCAAACTCTTGGGCTCAAGGGATCCTCCTGCCTCAGCCTCCCGAGTAGCTGGGACTACAGGTGCAGACCACCACACTGGCTCATTTTTCTATTTTTTTTTTTGTAGAGATGGAGTCTCATTCTTGCTCAGGCTGGTCTCGAACCCCTGAGCTCAAGGAATCCTCCCACCTCAGCCTCCCAGAGTGCTAGGATTACAGGCGTGAGCCACAATGCCTGTCCAAAATCTTCAGTCTTAACCCAGAAGTTAGATGGGGTTTCATGGCAGTCTGTAAAATTCAGGAATAATACTTTTAAAATTAAATATAGTGATAGTTTTATTATCTTGTATTTAAAAAAAAAATCTGTGTTTTACAATTTGAACTTTGCATGAATTGCCTAACATACTCTTATAGTATTATCGATTGTTACTTTGGAGTTCAGTGTGCTTCCTTGTGATATAGCGACAAAGATGAAAAACATTACAGCCCAACCCTTTTGCCCCACGAGACCAGAGGAAGGGCATTGTTATCATCAGATATGCTCGTTGTTATCTGTTATCATCAGATGCTGCTCTCGATAGCAGAGCAGGCTTTGCTTCAGCCGCTTGGCCACTGGGCTGGGTTAGTTCTATGAAGCGATGCGTCAGCCAGCTTGGCGGTTCTCTTTGTGACTACTTTTTAAAATGGTGAACGCTTGACAAAGTAAATTGTATCTTGTGAATCCTGAAAGGAATTTAAAAAATTATTTTGGTTATTTTTGCATAGGCTGAGATGAAGAAATGACCGTTAAGTGAAAGATACTTTTATTGTGGATGAATATATTATTAACATTATATTGTCACTTTTCATCCCATTGATAATATTTATTCCACATACAGACAGATTCTGACTGTTTCCCATCTGACAAGTGACACTTGCTTCAATTAAATAGGAAAAAACTCCATGATTTGTCAGTAAACAAATGAAAAGTAATATAACATGGTTAGCTTTCATGACTATATATGAAAATAGACGAAAACTGAAATTTTTTTTTTTATTTCAGCATATTATGGGGGTACAGATGTTTAGGTTACATATGTTGCCCTTGCCCCACTCCTCCCCCCCTAAGTCTGAGTTTCAAACTATTCAGCTTTAAGAAACAATGGTGATATAGCACCTCTTGTATACTCCTGGATAGAGCTGGAACGCATTCTACTAAGTGAGGTATCCCAAGAATGGAAAGACAAGCACCACATGTACTCACCATCAAATTGGTATTAACTGATCAACACATAAATGCACATATAAGAATAACATCTATTCGATGTTGGGTAGGGGGTAGGGGGGCGGGGGGGAGGAGAGAGGAGGGGACGGGTATTTGCATACACAAAGAGTGCAATGCGCACCACCCAAAGGATGGACATATTTGAAAATTTTAAAAGTACCAGAAACTATCTGGTATTTAGAAAGCTTGCATTTGGGGCTTAAAGAAGCTACTGGTTTGTTTTTACGGCGTTTGGGTTTGGTTTTAAAGGTTGCGATGGGAGGACATCTCTGGCTGTTTGTAATGACCTAACTGCTCGCGGCGCACCCTCGGTGTAGACAGGCTTGTGTGTAATCAGAAGAGCAAGTTGGAGCTCTGTGTTTTTTGAACACTGATTTTCAAAGCACTGGACCCATCCTGGTAGTTTCATCTGGATGTTGCACTTAGATAAGCCTAAGGCTTTAACCACTCTGGCTCTGTCGAAAACTGTCTTGAGGCGATTCTGTGGATTTGTCCTTTTTGCTCCTCGCAGTTAGACACGGGGGCGCCCTGCGCTCCCCCCCTTAGCTGATGCGCTGTGATGGGTGTGAAGCTTACAACACTAGCGGGCCTACATTTGGTTCTGAGTTTCACAGTCAGGGGACGTCAGCTTTCTTTACTTCCCTAACTGTCCCTCTTCCTGCTTCACACCCCACCTTGAGGGCGGCAAGAAATTCAGGCTGGGCGGGGTGTGAGACCCTCCCCGTCCCGGGGTCTCGCGGCCATCCTGGAGTCATCAGTGGTGACCAGGCAGGAATGGGCTCTGGTTCTTTGTCCGAGGTGGCCTTTCTGCTGCCTGTCCCTCGACAGGCCCTGTGCTCTGGCTGGACACACACTTGCCCCTTGCAGCGGCGGGCCCTCTGACCACAGGTGCTGCCACCCGGGCAGAGTGCCCAGGTGCTACCTGAAATGCCCCCGTGGCCCCCGGCTCGACTTCTGTGTGTGAGCAGGGCCTGGGCAGTGCCCCTCCTGGAAGCCCCTTCTCTCCTCAGTCTGGCCGCTTTAGTCTTGCCAACTCCCAGCCCTGAGCCCCAAGCTCTTCTGTTTTCGGGGCCCACCTGCTTCATTGCCTCTGTTAGCCGCGGGCTTTGAAAAACAGGGCCTATAATTTCTTCCCTAGGGCTGGGGAGCCGGAACCAATAGGTGGAGTGTGGGAGAGAAAACAACTCGTACTCCCCCTCCCAAGCTCTGTGTAGTAGGAAGAACAAAACAGATTCGTGTCCTGGCATTCAGCCACATTTGTTAGGAGAAGGAAAAAAAAACATTTTAAAAACGTTTTGTTCTGAAATAATTATAGACTCACAGAAAGTCGCAAAGATATCGGAATCCTGCGTGCTGTTCACCCAGCTTCCCCCAGTGGTGACACCCATCTGGCCATAGTACAACAGCAAAACCAGGAGTGTGACTTTGTTGGTGTATTTCTGTTAACTAAACCACAAACCCTACTCAGTTTTCACTGCTTTTTAACCCGCCTTCATTTTTGTGTTAAAAACAATTTTAAAGTGTGCAATGGTAAACAATAAAAACAAACAAACAAAAACCCTCCCTCTGGCAGCTGGCAGTGTTCAGCTGAGTGATGAACCAGGTAGGTGACTAGTCAGTGCTCACCTGATCTCGGCTATTACACGTGCACCCTCAGCGCACGCTCGTAAGCACTCAGACCGTTCCATTTAATGTAGAAGGATATTTACCTAAGTGTTCCACATAGATTAAAAAACAGAAATGGAAACAGAAACCATCATCTCCTTTAATGATGTGGATGTCCCCTGACCGCCTCCCCAGCCTAGCTCACAGCAACCTCAAACTCCCGGGCTCAAATGATTCTCCTGTCTCAGCCTCCTGAG